GTAATCCTGAGGCAGACCACCGTTATGTCTTAGTGGTAGGAAACACTGTTCACAGCACCTAAAGCCACACAGTGTCCATTTTGTTGATATTTCGACCCAGAGAGCTTTCTATGAAGTGGAAAGCTCCACTTCCCCTCACTCACACGGTGATGAAAGATACTGTGTATGTTGATTTAGTTTAAAATACATCGAAAAAGTGGCTTTTAGTTTACCTACTAAACTATGCTGATACAGGAACAATTTACTGCTGTTTCAATGTAAAGCTAAAACCAAGCCTTTAAGAGCAGTTAAGTTGAAGAAAGTACACTAAGTAGATTCTGGTCGCTGCTGCAATGCATTACCATGAACTTGGGAATGTCTATCACAGTTATTCTTCCCAAGTTTTGTAGGATCAAAACCTGAAATCCATTTTAGTGGGCCAAAAAAGGAGGGTTGCCAGGACAGTGCTCTCTGGGGGTTCAGGGCTGCATTCTATCAGTCAAGGTAAGTGCTCAACCCTAAATTTGTTCTACAACAGTGGAAGATGCTGGAAGTGAAAAGAAGTGTTTTTTTGGAGGATAACCAAGCTTTTCAATTTCCATATGTAACATATATATAAATATGTATGTTACAGTAGAGTCCATTCTGTTAGCACAGGTGGGTGCTTCCTAGTCAGACCTGGCAGAAGATGGTTGCCTTCAGAGAGTCCACCACAGAATGGTCTTCCTCACTCCAGTGCCCTCTGTGAGGACTGCACAAGACATGGAAGTAAAAGGGATCTGAATGGGTTTAGATTGCCACACTCTACCAAAAGGGCATGGGACCTAAGCACATTATTATAAACCAAGACTCTATAAATAGGTTGGATACCCAAACTACCCCAAAAGTGTAACCTCATGCAGTGAGTACATAGCAGAAACACGAGATTCAGCACTGTCTCCTCCCCCCCCCCCCCCCCGAGGGCACACAGAGCCTTTAGAAATCACACAATGGAATAGTCACTGCAGAACCGGGGTAGCTGTTTTCTACCCAAGTCAGGCTAACTACCAGACTTGAAACAGATGTTTTCAGCCTAAGGAGCTAATGAAGACAGTCACTGAGGGCTGGGGAGATGGCTCAGGGGTTTTGGTGCTTACTAGGCAATCATCCCCAGAAACCCACATAAAGGTCTGGTATATGTGATAGTCCTCAGAAGGCAGAAACATGGGATCCCCAAAGCTATATTGGCAAGCTCTGATTTTTTTTTTCTTGAGAGACCCTGGATAAGGTGGACAAGTAATGGAGGATAATCCCTGCCATCTGCCTTGGACTTCTGCATGCACACACCACACTCGTGCACACCTGGTCTACAAGAGCTAGTTCCAGGACAGGCTCCAAAACCACAGAGAAACCCTGACTCGAAAAACAAAAACAAAAAAAAAAAAAAAAAAAAACGAGGGGGAAAGTCACTGAGTAGCATGTTGGTGTGGGTTTGTATCTGAACTGGTAGGAGGTATCAAGGACTTGAGGAGAATGAACGTATCTGTGATGGTTACATGTGGAAATCACCACCCTAGTAGGACAGAATGAGTGGGTCTGAAACCACACAGTTGAAGAAAAAGCTTGAGCAGAGAGCCCATGGTAGGCAAAGAGCCTGGCAAGGTCACTCTGGCTAGTTTTAACAGTTGAGAGCAAACACAGGAATCAGTATTCATATATCCTGGATTAATGGTCCAGGATAAATGCAAAGTTCCTGGCTGGACTAGAACTCAGTATGTAGGCCAGACTGGCTTTGAATTCACAGCAATCTACTCCCAAGTGTGGGAATTCACAACAGCATGTGCCACCAGACCCAACTATAAGATAGGTTTTGTAATGAATTGTCAAGCTTGAGAATCTCTTCAAAAATTGCTCAGTCTCAAAACACTTATGCAGACATGCCTGTGGAAGGTCATCTTCTAAGGGAAGTTTTGTCATAGTGGGCACAAGGCATTTCCTGTGCAAAGAGGAGCCTCTTGAATATAGCAGAGGATCTTTAAGAGCACGTTCCTGCACAAGCCTGACAACTTGACTTAGATCCTTGGGACCTATGGTAGAAGGAGAGAACCAGCAACCGGAAGTTGAAGTTGTTCTTCACTGCCGCATGAGCAGTTTAGAGCATATGCACCCCCGGTCATATACACATGTACATCTCCCCTAATTCTTCAAAGCATTCAGATTGATTAAAGGGGATCCCCTCACTGGGAGGATTTTCTAGAATGCACCAGACAAGGAAGAGGAAGACAATGTAAAATCCAGAATAGTAGGAGGCCCTCTTCCATCTAAAACAGGATCAAGGATTCCAAATGCCAGTCCCAGTGGCTGGAGGTTCACACACAGTTATTGCAGGTTTGGCTTCGTCAACACGGATGGAAGGAAGTACACTGTCCTCAAGTAGCCATTGTCCCTTTGATTTTATGCTGCAGCCTCCAAGCTAGAAGAAAGGGACCTTCTCCATTTTAGGAAGTCATTTACCTGTATCAACTTGTTTCCAGAATTTCTACTTCCACATTTTCATCAGTCCTTTCTCCTCTCTCTCTTACCCTCATCTTCCTCATGCCTTCTTTCTCCTAACCCCTCTCCTCCCTCCCTTCTTCCTCATCTTCCCCTCTTCCCCTCTTGGGTTCCCACTGTGTAAACCAGTTCAGACTTTCATTATGTAGCCAAGGATGGGCTCATAATCTAGCCTCAGTTTATAAAGTGCTAGGATTACAGACCTGACATCCTAAACCCAGATCACAGGTTTTCTCCTTAAATACAAAGTCATTTATCTTCCTTAGATCTCCATTAAACCATTTAGTATAGTTTTAATTACTGTCAGACAAGCTGATGGGACTGGGAAGTAGCCAGTGACCTCAGGACTAAATGTACAACTTATTCTCCATCTCTACACTATGATAAAGTAAAAAAGTTTTGTTATAGTAGACTTCTCTAGACTATTTTTCTTTTAGTTTTCTACATACAACATTTGAAATAGACAATTTAGTTCTATCATGGAAAATCTACAATCATACAGTAGCTGCTCACTTACACATCAACTATTGAGCAATATGTGGCTATTCTGATTGATCCTATAAACTCATTAGCTTGCTTCCAGGTCTGTTGAGTGCTCAAGCGTCCTATGAGTACACACCCATTTCATCCCTGCCACATCAACAACTGCCATTCACTGATTCCTTTAACCCTCAAAAAAAATCTGAAAGCAACACACCCTCTGATGGGTCAGGTCACAGCTTACTTTCTCAGCAACTGTGCAGACTCAGTACACTCGATAGGAAAACCACATCCGGATACATGGGCAGTCCTAGTAGAGTTCCACTACAGCCCCTCAGTCCCATTGCCTTCATCTTAGCCCTAAGTCTTCATCGTGGCCTCTGAAAATCTAGAGTATAGTGCTGTGGACACATTAATAGGTGAATGTAACTGAAACCTCTTAAGAGAGATATCTTTGGACAGATGAGCAAATAAGCACTTGAAAGTAAAAAAAAAAAAATTTCCTGGAAAATTCTTGTGATAAAGGCAGAATACAGACCTGATGGAGTGGCTTCCTGTTGGCACAGTTTATGCCCCCAATGAAAGCCATGTTAGGCATAATGGGCCTGGGGTAGTCAAACACAAAGTCCCCTCGGAACAGCCACATGGATGCATGGCTGAGAACCTCCACCAAGGACACCTCTCTCTGCAGAAGTTCAGAGGCCAAACTTTCATAGGGAGTGAATGAGACATGGCAAATGTACTTCAAGGCCAGAGGGTACAGCATGTTCTTGACTCTTTGTAAGAAGCTCATGTGGTCAGAAAGTCTTGCAAGTAGCCTTGGAACATATGAAGAAGGGTTTGGACACTGTGTGCCCTCATAGTCTATGTCGCAGGGAATGGCGCGTAGAAAAAACACAGCAGGAATCTGTAGGTACTTGGCCAGCACTGCCCCGCAGGGAAATACAGGGTCCGTTAAGACCACATCGAAGGAACTGGAGTTTAGGTGCTGGATCAGGGTCTCATTGTGCAGTAGAAGTGCACAAGAATTTGCATAGAGTTCTGAAAATTTTCTTATACCTGCCATAGTTTCAAAAAACATCTTCACAAAATGTTGTGCTTCCAAGGCCTTCTTAGAGTTGTCCAGTATGTTCTGCTGATACTCTTCCTGGGTGTATGGAAAGGGATAAGTCTGGAGGGTAAAGAAGTCCTCTCCTTTGATATACAGCGTCACATCTGGAGCCAGGACCACAATCTGGTGGCCTCGGGCATGGAGCTCCCTGGTGACGTCTTTCATGCTCAGCCAGTGGCTGCCCTCCATTGGAAACACCAGCACCTTTGCACCTTCAACCCAGGGCAGGGCACACAGCAGCAGCAACAACCCCAAGAGTCCTGTGTCCATCTCCCCAGAGGCCCACAGCCGTAGACTGTGCACACCCTGTGCCTCCCTCATAAGTTTATTCCTCTTCTTATAAGCAGGCCACCTATCACTCTGCATACCATTGGGTAGTGCAGTGCCTTTAAGTTAATCATTAAGGAATAAACCTCACCCTACCTTTCACTAATGTACCCATCTACCTGCCTCCACCCAGAGAAAGTTAAACCTCGCTTTTCCTGCCTAATACAAACTCCCGTGACATGCTTTTCTCTTCCTAGGGCATACTAGTTCACTTCTTGTTTTCCTCCAGTTCCCCAAACAAGGCGCTGGGCAACCATTTCTTTCATGACCTGGACTTTTAGTAAGTTGCCATTGAGCTTGGAGCAGTGCTATCTCCCAAAACCTTTCTGCTGGATAAGACCTTACTTCAATAGCTCATTAACGTCTCTCCCCCAATTCACAAGTAGCAGTCAGCGTATCACAGCATGCAGAACACTGCAAAGCAAAGACAATATTCCTTTGCCATGGTTCCTATTCTTCACAGTACCAGGAATATAAACATGATTTGAAGTGGCTGACTGCTGACAAAGATGGGAATGCTGGAAAGATCTCAAAGTCAAGACCGAGGATCTGACTCTGCTGTGAGATCTCTTCAGAGTCGTGTGACCACTCTATGGAATGAAGCAGATCTTTGTAAAGCCCCTCCGGACAACACCAGCCTCTTCACTGGCACAGTGAATTCCCGAAGCATCCCGCTCCCTCCCGTAAGCTGATCTCCTTGAAAGGGACAACGAGACGGCTCAGGGCTATGGCTCAGTTTCAGGTTCTGTTCTGGATACTGGGGCTGCAGGATCCTGCACTCTGTTAAGAGCCCTAGGTGAATACTTGTTTGTGTCTTCACTGCATTCTGAGGTTTGTCATTGGGTTTCCTTTTACAGTCTGTGCCAGACCAGAATCCTGACGAGGATGGAATTCCCCATAAAGCATGGACTGCAATTTTCTGGGGCACTGTGCTCAAATTCAAGAAAAGGTAAGGTTGAGGCTGAGGTGAGGGTAGAACCCCAGTTGTGGGCACCATATACATAACCAGGAATCTGTCCCTGCCTCAGAGAATTGCTGGCACCTCCCTCCTTTACATGCCCTGGGGCTGGCTCCACTTTCCACTAGGCAAGCTCCTTGGGGTGTGACATTCTGCACCTCTGCATCTGTGTCGTTCTGCCAGGATGGCCAGGCTGAGGCTTCCCTCTGAAGAGAAGCCACCCTCTTAGGATCCGACTGGGAGCAGAAGCAGCAGCTGTTTTTGTACAAAATGCCTCACAAGTGCCAGGCTGCTCTGTGCACACAGACTTTGTATTCCACCCTTTCCTGGAGGCCAGGAGTCCAGAAAATGTTCTGCAGGTTCTTTCCCGAAGGCAACTTTTCAGCTTTCTTTTTCCCCACCTGCCACCTCTCTGCATGTTTTACCTCACTTCATACCCCACTGTTTCCCTTCTATGGCTATCTATACAGAATTACTCAAGTGTAGGCTATAGCAACTCCTGTCCTTACCCTGCCCATAAAAGGAAATGAAGAGATGGAGCTGGTGGCTGAGCAGTCGGAACCTGAAATCTGTGATTGTTGCTTTAGCGGCTGATGTCAGCGTTAACAGGAACACTCCCATCACTACTTCTAGTACAAGGGGTGGGCAGCCAGGTCCCGGAGGCAGAACCCACTTCTGCCCAGACTCCATATGCTGCTCTGTGCATTTGTGCTGGGGAAAGCACACAAGGGAACAGTGTGAGGGCCTGAGGTGTGCTCACAGATCCAAAGCGTACAAGGGCAGGTTACCATGGCTGAACAGTTTCTACATATAAGCCAGGTCAAAGGGCACTGCCAGTTCTGCTCACTTAGTGCCGTAAATGTAGACTAGAATCGTGAAGGGTGCACAGCAAAGATTGGCCTTTGCAATGTTCTTGTTTCCTTTTTTATTTTAAAATGTTGTGAATCTGTGGATGTTGCTTTGACTGTCAATTATGATTAATCCCTAGGCAAACAGTATTATTTCTTGGAACTAGGAAATGATATTTAGCACAGCACTTCGATCCTTACATTTGCCCTGGGCTGGAAATGTGCAGGTCTAATTAACTGGCCCTGGATATTTCTTCCATCCTGGTGAAACAATAGTATATTAGCATCCTTAAGTAACTCCGAAGGGACTCGGCTGTGCATGGATGCTGCGGATGTCTTAAGAGCTGACCATCACTCGGCTAAAAGTAAATCTTTGCCTCTTTGAAAGTAGTGAAGCCTGACAAAGTGGGCATCCTTAGTTTTGAACACTCTTGTATCAAACCATCCCACACTAGATGACTTAAATTCACATTTAATCTCTGCATGGTGTGGAAGCCACAAAGCTGTGTTACTGGAATCACATTCCATGCACCCTAAGAATACGAGGTTGGTTGGTGGGGTGTCAGGAATGGTCGGTCTCAGCTGCACCTTTTTTCTATATTCAGGGTAGCTGTCAGAAGTAGGAATAATTATTTCACAAAGGCTATGTAAACCTTTCCATTGTCACAAAGCCAGCACTGGTTAAAGCCCGACAAAAGGCGGCTTTCACCCTTAAATGTAGCCTGTGCCAGGAATACTATACACACCCAAACAAGTCAATTCTATTGGCACAGTTTATGACCCACATAAAGGGCTTTTATAGCATGGTAGCCTTGCAAAGTCCAGCACAAAATCCTGCTTCCCCACAATTATTTGTATGGACTGAAATAAGATTTGAAAAAAGCAGGACTGATGAAATGGACCAAAACCGAAAGAATTCTTAAACCTTTGCAGGGAGTTCACAAACGGCTATAAAACTGGGGTTGGATAGAGTTTAATGCTCTTAAAGACTAAAATAAATGCAGTGGGTCGGACACACACACACACACTCCCTTTGTATTCCACCCTTTCGAGGAGGGTAGGAATCCAGATAAATGCTCTACAGTTTCTCCTCCAAAGTTAGTTCCCTGCCTTCTTTTCCTCCATCTGCTTTCTGCACTGGCCACGTCTCTGTATGTTTTAACTCATGCCCAATCCCATTGTTTCCCTTCTATGCAGAGTTATCTGAGTCTAAGCAGTTTATTATTTTTTAAAGTGTGTGTGTGTGTGTGTTTACACTCAAAGGGGTAGCATATGCCACAGTATGCCCCTGAAGTTCCAAGAATTACTTTACTTTCAGGGAGTCACTTCTCCCTTTCCTACCATGTACATCCCAGAGAATCAGACTCAGGTCGTCAGACTCCGCGACAGCACCTTTACTTGCTGAGCCATCTTACTGGCCCAGACGGAACATTATGTTTTAAAATGTTTTAAGATGCGTACGCTGTTTGGCATCTCTGAAAACCAGCAGCCACACAAGCCCCACGTGGGCCTCCTTGGTTCTGGGATCACTCCAGAAGCCCATAGCCATGGAGCTACCTTAGCAGGCTGTGACACCTACCCTAGTTTCCTCATCCCCTTATCTCCCTGTTCCCTAACGTTCAGCATATCATTGCATGGCACGGTGCCCGCCTTCCACTAATCATTACAGAAGAAATCCATAGTTGGCACTGACTAATGTCTTACCCTCTGCCTCTCCACCCGAGAAACTACTCTTATCATCTCTTCACCAGCTAAACTCCGATGACCTGTAGCTGCTGTTTAGTGACTATCAGAGTTCACCTCGTTGGTCTTCCTATATTGAAAGCAAGGTTCGGCACACTCCCTAGATTTAATCACTTCTTTCATTGAGCTGAAATAGCAGGATGACAAAGCAAATCTGAGATGTAGCCGAGGACAGGGCTCTAGCTGTAGGGACTGGGCACGGGGCCAGGAATCTGGCCCGGCCTCAGGGAATTGCTCTCACAAGTGCTTGCAGTTGCTGCCACCTCTTTCCTCTACATGTCCTGGGGTCCCAATCTCCATCATGTGAGCTCCGCTGGGGTGTCCTGCATTCCACCTCGCTGCTTCTGTGTCATTCTGCCCATTCAGCTTGGTTGTCCAAGGTGACACAGGATTTCCCTCTGCTGCAAAGCTACGCCCCTCATACCTAACTGGGAGTAGACTCAGCAGCCAGGCAGATGTGCCTATGAAGATGCCTCCCATGTGCCGCCGCACACTGTGCAAGCAGCCTGTACATCCCGCCCTTTCGAGGAGGGTAGGAGTCCAAATAAATGCTCTGCAATGTCTCCTCCAAAGTGAGTTCCCTGCCTCCTTTTCCTCCATCCGCTTTTTGTACCTGCCACGTCTCTGTATGTTTTCCCTCACATCAAACCCCATTGTTCCCCTTCTGTGGTTATCTATGCAGAATTATCTGGGTCTAGGGAGCGGCCACTTCTGCCCGTGCAGTGCCTATAAAAGAAAGAGAATGGATGGAGCAGTTTGGGTGAGAAGCCAGAACCTGAAATCTGTGTCTGCTGTTTCAGCTGTTGTTCACAGCGTTAGCAAGAACATTCCCAACACCGCATCTAGGGGAAGAGGTGGCCAGTTCTTGGAGGAGGGACCCTGTGTCTGTCCCAGGCTCAGTATGCAGCTCTTGCAGATGTGTGACTGTGGAGGATGCCTATGGAAGAGCACGCTGGGGACCATTTAATGGCTTCTCTCACTGTGAGGGTCTGGCCTGCGCTCAGAGCCTCAGAGCACACAAGGATCCAGATGCTATGCCTGAAGAACTCTAGGTATTGGGTGTGCTGTTGGCTCTGCTTGGTCAGAACCCTACATCTCAACTAGACTCATGAAGAGACTGTAGCAAAGTTTTTCTAACAGGTTTGACTTTGCCTTTTTAAATTTTTGTGAATACCTGCATATCTTTTAGTATTAAACTATTGCTGAGTCAAATCATTTTATTTCCTGGAAGATTGATTGCCCAGAACCTTAAGACTTAATACCCCCCCCCCATTTGGGGGGAAATCTGTGCCAGGGATCTTCCTCTGAAAAAATCTACAGTTTGTTCTCCAACAGTGCAGCTAAAAATGAAAAAGGAATTGAAATAGGCTATAATCTCAGCAATTTTTATAACTCTCTGAGGTAAACAAATAAGTGTCTTTCAGATCATTTAATACATAATTACTAAACATATTTTTTAAAATTTCTATTATTTCAGAATAATTGGCCACTCTTAACTTGACTTTTTTTAAAAAAAATAATAAAAGTTTAATTTTGTTGGACATGGTGATACATGCTTGTAATTCCAGGGTGTGGAAGCAGGCAGAGCAGGAGTTCAAAGTTGTCATCAGTTACACAGCATGGTCCAAGTCGACCTAAACTATGATGAGACCCTGTCTTAAACAAACAAGCGAGTAACCTAGTTGAGTGGGTATTATGCTATTCCTATCATTCCTGTAACAAGTCATTAAGGCCCCAGGAAGTCAGTTCACATTTATCCTCTCCAATGGAAGAATATCACTGTTTCCAAGATTATTCTCTATCTGAAAGCTTAGGGCCAAAATATAAGTGAATGCCTCAAAATTCCAGTATTGGCTAGTCCCATGTTAGGTCTACACTCAGCTTTAACTTGGTTTCACAATTACCACAGGTGCTAGAAATATCAAAAGAATTTCTAAGGTACATCAAACTTGTCATGGCGTGTAGGGGACAGAGACCAGAGCAACTTGACAAAAAAGCTAGCTTCCACTTGAGTGACTGACTAGATGAGGCACCTTGAACACAGCAGTAAAGTCCACGCTATCAGCAAAGATCAGGGTTCAGGCTGGTGTGGTAAGTCCTTCTGTGTATGTGTTGCCTTTATTGGTTAATGAATAAAGAAACTGTTTTTGGCCAGTGGCTTGGCAGAATGGAGCTAGGCAGGGATAAACTAAACTGAATGCTGGGAGAAAGAAGGTGGAGTTAGCGAGACACCATGTAGCTGCCTGAGGGAAAAGATGTACTTGTTAGGTGGAACCTTGCCGGTAGGCCATGACCCTTGTGGTAAAATATAAAATAAAAAAATGGGTTAGTTTAAGAGATAAGAGTGAGATAGAGTGATAAGCTAATAGGCCAAGCAGTGTTGTAATTAATACAGTTTCTGTGTGATCATTTGGGTTCTGGGCAGCCAGGAACAAACAAGCGGCCTCCTACAACACCAGTCCATTACTGCCTTAGGAGAGGCAGAAGGAAGAGAGCAGACTAAAGTTCTTGGGGCATCAGCAGAGGAAAATCTTCCAGCTTGGAATGAGATCCAGGGGCTCACTCGAATGGATTGGTTGTCTGCTGAAGGCAAAGTGATGACACCAAACTGAACTGAGATAATGTTACATCATATGACAAAGAGAGTATAGCTCTCATTGAGGATCTTGAAGCGGTGAGACTGTCCGAACACACATGAGTGGTCCGACATCATTACAAAAGATCTCGTTAGTAAATGAGGGAAACATATGACTTAGAGATGTGGGCAAGCTCCACCACATCTCCATGGAGACAGTGAGTGCCATTGAATTACAAGAGTAAAACCAAGACGGAAATTTTCAAGAAAACCAATAATGTGAAAGGAATGGATTTATGCCACTTGTGAGAGATAAAATCAAGTCTATCCTATCTGAATAGCCAGAATTCTCACATCAAGAGAGATCAACAGCAGTTGAAGGCATATGTCACAAACAATCCCACACCAGTTTGGAATTATGATTAATAGAATGGTTATTTATTTAAAGGGAAAAACTTACAGATCACCGTCCCAGACAACAGCCCTCTGCGCGATCAAGAAGGGAGTCTAGTAGCCGGAAGCAGAGCTGAAAGCAAGAGAGTGAGCACACGGATACCACTGCTTTTTAAAGCAAATGAGACCACACCCAAGTGGGCTGGTATCTTAAAGTCTATTGGCTGAAGCAGAAGAAGCAGCTCCAGCAGCAAGGAGTGAGTTTTTAAAACATTGCTTAAACATGGAACCAAAATTCTAAACTGTTTCATTAGATGTAAAGGAAAGAGTAATGTGAAAAATAACACAAGATGGCAATGTTGGGGACAGATAAGTAGGATATCTGAGATGTCACTTAGTGATCAGAACAAAGTACATCACCATAACACAAGTGCCTCCATGTACCAAGCCAGCTTCCATGCCTACCGGTAACAACTATCAAAAATGCTAATAAAACCTCTGCAAATATTGGTGTCTATGATGTTGAAAACAGAAGGTAGAAGACACCTCCTTGGGAACTGGGGAATCTCAGGAACATAGGCATACAAAACATAAAACGTGACAATTTGGATGCACCCACAGAATATTTTAAAACACTGGTCCTGGGACTCTGGAGCACCTGAAAGATGGCTAGTAACCATGGAGACAAATGTAAATGAAACCACACATGCTGACTGCTTCTATTTCCACTCTCAAGTAACACGTGGGCACACACCCAGGCCTTCCTAGAGAGAATCATTAAGGATTCGTGGGTAAAAAGTCCCTTCATCTTGCTACTGAAAGCCTGACAGCAATACATGTCTCCTAGAGTCAAGTCAGCCTTCAGTTCCTCTGCATCTGCCCAGCTTCAGAAGAACCTCACGTCTGGAAAGACAGTGCTCACACAAGTGAGCAGTGTTGCTGGATTCAATTGCTGTGAGTCAGTCCCCGGACGGACAGACAGACCCTCGGTATGGCAGTGCAGTTCCCTCAGTGACCACTGTAAACCTGAAATGTCAGTTACAGATTTTTATATTTATTTATTTATTATGTATACAATATTCTGTCTGTGTGTATGCCTGATGGCCAGAAGAGGATGCCAGACCTCTTTACAGATGGTTATGAGCCATGTGATTGCTGGGGATTGAACTCAGGACCTTTGGAAGAGCAGGCAATGCTCTTAACCGCTGAGCCATCTCTCCAGCCCCCTAGTTACAGATATTTTGAAAACTGAGAATATCAGAGACAAATTGTGGCACAGCCATATCTGATGAGAATACAAAATAAGGTCAGCACAGCTGCCTGACACAGATCCAGCAAAGCTGAGTCACGTGATGGCTGTCACGCCACTTTTGGTTTTTGTCTCTACCTGTTGCATATTTGGAGGTGTTGTGTGATATCTTATTTGTGTTCTGACAAATAAAGCTTTCCGGGAGATGAGAGGGCAGAAATAGCCACTAGTAAATCACAGAAGCTGGGCAGTGGTGGCTCACACCTTTAATCCCAGCACACAGAGCAGAGACAGAATCTTTCGGTCTGAGGATTCGGAGGGGTAAGAAGTCTGATGGTTTGCTTCTCTGATCTGTCAGCTTTGACCCCGATACCTGACTCCTGGTCTTTATTGATTAACATTAATTAGGATCATGCTTCATGGGAGACTCTTAATATTTGCAGTTTGAGGATATTGTATTGACGGAAATTTTCTCATGAATCATTTATGCCTTCTCCCGGTAGCACTGCTTCTAAACTTCCCCAGGAAAACCCTGAACATACTACCCCTCCTGCTTTTAGGGAAATATCCCTATCTACCTTAAGGTCTTCCTTATGCCTTGAAGGATATGACACATATAAAGAAGCCAGAGGTTTCTTCATGAGGCTTTGATATATTCTTAAAACATCTGCTCCTATACTTAGGAACAAGATAATCAAAACAAAGCAAACTTAAAAAGGTCAACGAGATTCAGTGGGCTGGAGAAGTTGGCCATCGGCCAGATTGCAAGCCTCTTCCCACTGTGCACTCAGACAATTACGTGGCATAGACAGCAACAAAGTTAGGTTAGCTCAAGTTACCACTGCCCTATGCAGAGACTTTTATTGCTGGGTAAGGAACGATGTAGAAAGATGGCAGAAAGAATGAGATGTCAGGACCTCCCTTTCTTAGAAAAGTTAGCTCATGCCGAGCCTTTGTGGTGTTATATGACCAAGGAACAACAGAATGCCAGAATTAGACATAAAGGCAAATTCTATAAAGATATAAAACATGAACAGTGTATTATGCCAGAATCTGGATAATAACTGCAGTAACTTTCGTCTGAGGACATTTCTTGGGAACTCTGACCATTAAGAGTTAATAATACACTACTCAGGACAGCAATGTGCCTGGAGTAGCTTGGAGACTTGGTTTTGGTCTAGCGACTTTGTAGTCACAAAGGGTACCAGCCTGAGAACAGGCTGTCATACGCCTCTAGATTCGTAGAAACTGGCTTGTGGAATTAATGAGTAAAAATGATTATAAAAGATAACTCTGTTCTGTCACAGCTTGTCAATGATGACTAAATATGCAAGAAAGAAGTAAAACACATGTCCAGAATCAAAACATTATGAGCTATGTTTTGGAACAGCATTAATCTATCCCTGCTTACTAAGTTCTGTATAGATAAAGGAGCGCTCTGGCTGCCAGTCAGTCAGGCTGCAAGGATTTCCTGACCATGATGCCTGGCTCACTCTTTCCCTCACTGACTACTTACATCCTCTCGGGACCTGTCCACCCCCAGGCTGGCTCCTGGCAACATTGGAGACTTCAAGGTTAAAAACAAAAAATTCCCCAGAAAGCTAATGACCACATCAAAATGAGATATTTAGAAAACTAGACTGTTGTAAAGATAAATTATGGCTCCAATGCAGACCTGAGAGAGTGTCTTCCTACTGGCAGAGTTTATGTCCCGAATGAAGACCATACTGGACACAATGGCCTCAAGTAGTTGGACATAAAGCCCCCTAAAACAGCTGTACAAATGCGTGGCTGCGAACATTTACCAAGGACATCTCTCTGGAAAATCTCAGAGGTGCGGCACTCCAAAGGAGTGGAACACACGGGACACATGTACTTCATGGTCATAGGATAAGTGTGTTCTTGACCCTTTTCGGGAATCTCATGTGATCAGAAAGCCTTGTTGGTAGCCTCAGGACAAATAAGGGGTGGAGTTGGACACTGCGGCCTCAAAGTCTACTTCACAGGGAATGGTGCAGAAAAACCAAGGAAAGATCACCCAGGTACATTGTAAACAGAAAAAAAAAAGCAGGGTCTGTTAACACCACATCAAAAGAACTGGAGTTCAAGTATGGGAGCAGAGCCTCATTGGGCAGCAGATCCCTCCAGGTGACCACATGGAATGTTGATGCAGTGTTTCCTACTTGCCGTTATTTTTAAAGGCATCCTCACAGAAAACTGCATTTCTCAGAAAATTAATTACCAATTAGTTCAGAAAGTGATGTCTACATTATTCCCTGGTGTGTGGAATATCCTAGGGTTTCAGGGAGCAGATGGCCTCTGCTTTGATACACACAGAACATCTGGAGCCAGGACCACAGTCTCCTGTGAGATCCACGTTCACTTCAGGCTTACTGCCTGCTCTAGGAAAAGGAATTGCCCCTCCCTGGAGCCAAGATCTGAATCCCCAAAACTGCTGCTGAGAGTTGGAGAGCAAGCTCAGTTTCTCTGCTCTGGTGCTCCCAAGATCCTGGAAACAGCATGTTCAGGAGGCACTGTCCTGGCTAGTGGACATGCTCAGTGGACACCCACCACAGCTCCTTGGTTCCATTAGACACCCTCACTATTGCCTCCCGCTCTTCTCGCGGGACACTCGGATCCTGACTCATTGACTGAGGAGGCCTTAAAAGGATTTAACTCAGCAAAGCTGCTGGAAAGATGAACAGGCAAATGAGCAACTCAGAAGAAGGGACACAAGGAAACCAGTATTGGTGGAGCAGACTTTGGATAGAGGCTTAATACAGACCTGAGAGAGTGGCTCTCTGAAGACACAGTTTATTCCCCCAACGAAAATCATATTGGGCATGATGGGCCGGGGGTACTCAAACACAAAGTCCAGCCTGAAGAGCCATATGGATGCGTGGCTGAGAATCTCCGTGAGGGACACCTCTCTCTGCAGAAGCTCCGACGCCAGGTTCTCGTAGAGCATATAAGAGATGCGGAAAATAATCTTGTATGGCAGATTGTAGAGAATGTTCTTTACCCTCTCCAGGAAGCTCATGTGGTCCGAATTCCTGGTGAATAACCTTGGAACATATGAGGGAGGGCTTGGAGCCTGGGCAGACTCAAATTCAATGTTCGAAGGAATGAAGCGCAGAAGAAACACAGCAGGAATATTCAAAAATTTCGCCAGCACAGCCCCACAGGGATACACAGGGTCTGTTAACAAGACTTCATAGGAACTGGAGTTCAGGTGCTGTATAAGGTCCTTGTTGTGCAGTAGACTACTGCAGGCCCTCAGGTAGAACAATGCTATGTTTTTCATACGTTCCATATTGCTTAAAAACATCATGACAGATTGTTCTGTCTCTAAGAACATTTTAAAGTAGCCCAGCGCGTTATATTCATAGTCTTCCTTAGTGAACGGGACAGCAAAGCTTTGCAGAGTGACGAAATCCTCTCCTTTGATGAACGTGGACACGTCTGGAGCCAGGACCACAGTCTCATGGCCTCGGGCATGGAGCTCCCTCACAATGTTCTTCATGCTCAGCCAGTGACTGCCCTCCCAGGGAATCACCAGGACCTTCCCACCCTCAGTCCAGGGAAGGGCACAGAGCAGCAGCAGCAGCCCTGAGAGTGCTCGCAGAGACACCAGGAGTCCCGTGGCCATCTTCGGAGAAGCCCACAGCAGAGGTCCTTCCTTGCCTGTCTCTGCCCTCAACGTGAGTGTCTTCATCTTATATAACCATCAAGTCACGTTGTACAGAGGCATGCCACAGGTGGGACAAGGCCCACCTTCGGTTAATCATTGCATTATTAACCCATGCCTGGCCTTCACTTCTGTCCTACCCTTCTGGTTCTGCACAGAGAAAAACCACTCTTAACATCTCTCGATGTTAAGTCATTCTAGTTAGTCATTCTATAAAGACTCCTGACACCTTCTGCTGCTCTCTGATGAACCTCAGTGATGTATGCTATGAATACATTCTATTGCCATTGGTTAATAAAGAAGCTACTTTTGCAGGGGGAATAAATTGTGTCTTCAGAGAGCCACTCTCTCAGGTCTGTATTAAGCCTCTATCCAAAGTCTGCTCCACCAATACTGGTTTCCTTGTGTCCCTTCTTCTGAGTTGCTCATTTGCCTGTTCATCTTTCCAGCAGCTTCGCTGAGTTAAATCCTTAAGGCCTCCTCAGTCGATGAGTCAGGATCCGAGTGTCCCGCGAGAAGAGTGGGAGGCAATAGTGAGGGTGTCTAATGGAACCAAGGAGCTGTGGTGGGTGTCCACTGAGCATGTCCACTAGCCAGGACAGTGCCTCCTGAACATGCTGTTTCCAGGATCTTGGGAGCACCAGAGCAGAGAAACTGAGCTTGCTCTCCAACTCTCAGCAGCAGTTTTGGGGATTCAGATCTTGGCTCCAGGGAGGGGCAATTCCCTTTCCTAGAGCAGGCGGTAAGCCTGAAGTGAACGTGGATCTCACAGGAGACTGTGGTCCTGGCTCCAGATGTTCTGTGTGTATCAAAGCAGAGGCCATCTGCTCCCTGAAACCCTAGGATATTCCACACACCAGGGAATAATGTAGACATCACTTTCTGAACTAATTGGTAATTAATTTTCTGAGAAATGCAGTTTTCTGTGAGGATGCCTTTAAAAATAACGGCAAGTAGGAAACACTGCATCAACATTCCATGTGGTCACCTGGAGGGATCTGCTGCCCAATGAGGCTCTGCTTCCACACTCGAACTCCAGTTCTTTTGATGTGGTGTTAACAGACCCTGCTTTTTTTTTTCTGTTTACAATGTACCTGGGTGATCTTTCCTTGGTTTTTCTGCACCATTCCCTGTGAAGTAGACTTTGAGGCCACAGTGTCCAACTCCACCCCTTATTTGTCCTGAGGCTACCCACAAGGCTTTCTGATCACGAGATTCCCAAAAAGGGTCACAAACACTCTGGCCTCCACAGGAACAGGTTTGAGTCAGCAACTTCCTCTGGAGCAGGCCCTAGGTAGCAACTTCCACAAGGGCAGGCCTAAGTCGGCAATTTTAGCTGAGGCAGCACCATCCTCAGAGCAGGTACAGGGTGCAACCTCCAAGAGAGCAGGCCCAAGCCAAAGACCTCTGTGGGACTGGGTCCCAGCAGGGGACCTTTGTAGTAGCAGGCCTGAGCCAGCAACTTCCACCTGAGCAGGTCCAAGGCAGCAACCTTCAGAAAGGCAGGCCTGAGCCAGTGACTTCAGCCAGAGCAGGCCCAAGGAGGCTACCTCCATAGGAGCAGGTACAAGGAAGTGGCTGCTGAGGGAGCAAGCCTGAGCCAGAGACCTCTGCAGGACCAGGCACAAGTCAGGGACCTCCATGGAGAAGGACCAAGCTAGAGACCTCTCTGTCACTGGGGCCAAGCCAGGGACCTCTGTGGGAACAGGTTCAAGGCAATGACCGCCTTGAAGCAGGTTGAAGGGAGCCACCACTGAGGGAGCAGGCCCGAGCCAGAGACTTCTGTAAAACTGGGCATGAATCTGAAACCTCTGAGGGAGAAGGCCCGAGCTAGCAACCTCTATGGAAGAAGGGCTGAACGACCCCCAGGATTGTAGAAGTTATCCAGGAGTACTGAGCAATCTCTGGGAATACGGAGTGACCTCTGGGGTGACTGCACCACAAGGAGTAACCATTTGAGCCTTGCATCTACTGGCACCTGGAAGATTGATCACCAGAGACACAGCCCCAACTACACCAATCAGAGGAAAAGATGGGTAGACAAGGTAAGAACACACTCAACACCACAAAGAGCAACACAAGACCAACAAAAACTAAGTGGCCCTAAAGCATCAAAATGTGAACACCCAAATAAAGGTGAAGCAGAAGAAAATAAATTAACAGATAACTTTAGGAAAATGTTTGGAGTTCTTAAAGAGAAAATGAAAAAATTCCTCAGAGAAATGGAGGAAAAGACAAAAAAACTTGGAAGAAATCAACAAATCTCTTAAAGAAAACAAAGAAAATACAATCAAACAGATGAAAGAAATGATTTAAGACTTGAAAACCAAAATAGAGACAATAAAAATACAAATTGAGAGAATTATAGAAATGGAAATTATGAGAAAATGATCAGGAACCACAAATGCAAGTATAAATAGCAGAATACAAGAGATGGAAGAGAGAATCTGAAACGCTGAAGATACAATAGAGAAAATAGACTCATTGGTAAAGAAAACATAAAATCTAACAAAAGCTTAACACAAAGTACCCAGGAAATATGGAACACCATTAAAAGACCAAACCTAAGAATAATAGGGATAGAAGAAGGAGAAGTCCAACTCAAAAGCACAGAAAATATATTCAACAAAATTATAGAAGAAAACTTTCCCAACCCAAACAAAGCTTCTGTAAGTCAAGGACATGATCAACATGACCAAATGACAGCCTATAGAATGGGAAAAGATCTTTACTAACCCCACATCAGACAGAGGTCTGATCTCCAAAATATACAAAGAACTCAAAAAATTAGTCATCAAAAGAATAAAAAATCCAATAAAAAATGGGGTACAGACCTAAACAGAGAACTCACAACAGAGGAATCTAAAATGGCTGAAAGACACGTAAGGAAATGCTCAACATCCTTAGTCATCAGAGAAATGCAAATCAAAACAACTCTGAGATTCCATCTTACATGGTACGAATGGTCAAGATCAAAAACACTGATGCCAACTTATGCTGGAGAGGATTGTTGTAAATGGAACACTCTTGCATTGCTGGTGGGAGTGGAAACTGGTACAGCCACTTTAGATTTCAGTATGGCAATTTCTCAGAAAATTAGGAAACAACCTACCTCAAGACCCAGAAATACTACTTTTGGGTATATACCCAAAGGATGCTCAATCGTACCACAAGGACATGTGCTCAATTATATTCATAGCAGCATTGTTTGTCATAGCCAGAACCTGGAAACAACCTAAATGCCCCTTAACTGAAGAATGGTTAAGGAAAATGTAGTACATTTACAAAATGGACTACTACACAGTAGAAAAATAAAGACATCTTGAAATTGGCCAGCAAATGGATGGATCTATAAAACATATACTCACTCATAAGTAGCTTTTAGACATAAAGCAAAAAAAAAATGTACACGGGAAGTAGAAAAAGACAAGATCTCCTGAGTAAATTGGGAGGATGGGGAGTAGAAAAAATATATAGCTCAATAAAAACAATTTAAACTGAGAAGCTTCTGTAAGGCACGGACACGGTCAACAAGAAACTGGTTCCAGGACTATGCTGCTTCTGAGGGCAACATAACTTAATTGAGAGTCTCGAGGTTCCACATCTAGTGGCATATTAGCACACCATTCAGCCCTAGCTTGGCTCTACAACACTGACAGCTGAAGAGGGAAACCATTTAGGTGTGCGCGCTTTCCCATTGCCGCACTGGGACCCAGACTAGAGAAGAAGCTTGACTGGGATGAGGCAGTCAGTGCACACTCATCTGAGAAGTCCAAGCTGTTAGCATTATCTGCGTCCCCACGCTAAGATGATTTTATTTTTGGCATGCTTACCTTGAGATAGTCTAAGCAAAGGGCATACGTAAGATATTAAATTGAGCCGTGGGGTCATCAGCATTCAGGAGGCAGAGGCAGGAGGATCTGTGTAAGTTCGAGGCCAGCCTGGTCTACAAGAGCTAGTTCCAGGACAGGCTCCAAAGCTACAGAGAAACCATGTCTCAAAAACAAAACAACAACAAAAATAGATATTAAATTGAATTGAAAATGAAATCAAGAGGCCACTGGGAGAAGCCTCAGCAGCACGGAGGGCGGGCCACAGCAGTGGCCTCCAGATATTATCTGATACCGGAGCCTCAACCTCACCCCTCCTGCCAGGAAGAATGAGCATAGGAGCTGTAGCCATGCCTACACCTAGAAGGAGCAACCGTCTGAGCCACGGGCTCATAGGCACCCAGAGGAATGATCATAGAAGGTTTTGCCATGCTTACATCTGAAGGAGTATTCAACGGAGCCACAGCCCCCAACTACACCAATTGGAGGGAAAGGGACCCCCCCTCCCCAAAACACAGGCTTCACCTGTTCCAACTGGAGGAAGAAATGGGTAGACAACAGGGTAAGAATACACTCGATAACATAAAGAGCTAGACAGTACCACCAGAAACCAGTGGTTCTACAACAGCTAGACCTGAACATCCCAATACAGATGAAGCAGAAGAAAACATCCTTAAAAATAACTTTAGGGAGATTATGAGACCCTATAGAAGGAATAAAAGATTCCCTTAAAGAAGTGGAAGAAAAAACAAACAAAAGATTGGAAGAAATCAACAAATCCCTTAAAGAAAACAAAGAAAAAGCAATCAAACAGGTGAAAGCAACAGTTCAAGACCTGAATACTGAAACAGAAGCAATAAGGAAAACACAAACTGAGGGGAATCTGGAAATGGAAAATCTGGGTAAAGGATCGGAAACTACAGAAGCAAGTATAAACAACAGAATGCAAAAGATGGAAGAGAAAATCTTAGGCATTGAAGATATGCTAGAGGAAATAGATTTGGTGATCAAAGAAAATGTTAAGTCTCACAAATTCTTAACACAAAATATCCAGTAAATCTGGGACACCACGAAAAGACTGAACCCAAGAAAATAAAATTGAAGTAAAGATACAACATATCTTAATCCTCT